ATTGGACATTTGTAATGATTTAATTGGAACAATGGTAGTAAATCCTAGACTCTTCTAATATATAGTAATAAGTTTTTAAAAATAAATTTTATATGTTGAAAGTTATATAAATAATATAAATCATAATGTAGTTAACAATTTAAAGTATTTAAAGGAATATGAACAAATCATGATAAAATAAACTCGTTTAATTTTGGAAATTTTAAAAATACCACATAAATTGAAATCGAAAAAGTATCTTAGAATGAAGTCAAAATCAAACCAGATTGTGTAAGCAATTAAACACAGGAAATAATTTAATTAATAGCCACAAATTTCAATTATATAGGTACTATTACTATAAGCCATATAGAAAGAGTACACAAATTAAAGCCTACATTTCAGCATTATTGTAAGGAAAAGTATTTTTAAAATGTAATGAGAGAAAAGAAGAATTTCATAACATCTTTATTGACTCAAAGAAATGCGTGTTGGAAAAGTACATTACAATATTAATAATGAACAAATTGAATTGAAAAATAGGAAAAACTTACCGACTCGTCTGGTCATGAGAATTTTTCACTTTTTTTTATATTAAAAATATTATTTTATTTGAAAATCAATATTTGATCATAGTAAATTCATTATACAACGTAAAGTCGTATTTGGATTTTGGAAAATATCCAAAATCATAGTTTCACTTTTATAAAATTTTCCTTTACAAATATATCCTAACTTTTTTATTTCTATAAATAACCCCATTTAAATTATATTTTATATTTAAATCACATTTCATATTTTCTTTTTAAAAAAAATACATTTAAGTTCTAATCACTTTATTGCAAAATAAATAAATAGAGTATAATCAAACGCAATTTCAAATAAAATATGTTTAGGTTGTTTTTATGGCCCAGCGCCCACTATATCTATTATGAAATGATTTCTTTAATTTGTTGTTAGAGTTGATTTATAAGTAATTTTATTTTTATCAGATGAGTGTATAAATTACATTCAACGTAAAACACATTCGTTGAATGTAATTTGTCTATTTTTCACTTTACACGTTAGTAAAGATGATATTTTTATTAATTTATCCTACATTATATTTATGAGCTTTATTCATCAAAAATACCAATATTAATAATGATAAAAAAATTATGAACTTTACAATATTTATACTTTCAAAGGAATTAATTTTAAGAAAAAAAGTGATTTTTTAAAATTAATTCTATCTTGATTTTATAAATTAGAAAATAATTTGTAACAAATATCTTTAATGGATAAGTAATATGAGATGAATGGAATAGTTCTCATGGATGAAATAATCACTGCAGTTACACAAGTTAACATCGGTTGTGAGTAGAGATAGATATGATACGATAGATATCGAATCATCATATAGAAAATCAAAATTATTGATATTGCAATTTTGATGTTATGATATTGGTATGATATTTGGTCTTCAAAAGTTATGAAATATTGTATCGAAGTATATAGTTATATATATATAATTCAAATATATCATTATATATAATACCAACAAATGTATAAAATAGTATACACATAAAACTAATTATTTAGACGTAGAAATTTTGATTACACTATTTGGATTGAGATATCATTTATGTGTGTAATTGATTAACGAAAAACACTACTTATAATTTCTTTTAAATATATCTACAAGTATAAGGTATTAATATAATATAACTGAAATATTTCACAAAAAAAATGAAGTCATGATTCGTTATTATATGGGTACATGTAAGATGAAGTTAAGCAAATTATCATTACATATTTATCATGCTGTAAAATATCGAATCAAACTTTAAAATATTACACTAACTTAATATTTCATAACATATTTTTTTTAAAACCGATAAACCAAAAATATGATATCGTAACATATCGTATCATGCTCACCCCTAACAAATTAATTACTTCAAGGCCAAAACGTTAGGAAATTAGTACGACGCCGTTAGGTCCATAAAGGAAAATAACAGTCACCCACGTGGCAACACTCGTTTTCCTCTTACTATGAACAAAAAGAGAACAAAAGAAAGAGTTAATAGCACTTTGGTCCCTCGATTATTAATAAATTTTAATTCATATAATATTTAATCAAGCATATTTAGAAGTTGTTGCCCGTTGATAAGAAATTCTTTCGTTAGAACGACTAAAATTTTCTTACTTTTAAAATAAAAATTATAAATTTAAAAATATATGTGCAAAGAAAAGGAGGAACGACAAATGCAAGAGACATTTATTCATAAAAAAAAAATCACTCTTTTCTTTGAGTTGAACTTAAGAAAACATGTTTGTTAATTTTCTTTTGAAATCTAACTTTAATTTTTAAGAATTCGAAAAACAATGAAAGTGTGTGTTCACTTTTTCACTTCAAATTATTCAAAAAAAATAAAAAATAACTTTAATTTGTGTTCTTGATCAGACACAGATCCAAATTTCAAATATCATTTTCATTTAAAAATAAACACTATTCAAATTTCTCAATGAAATATGACTTAACGTCACACAAAGTGAAAATAAAAGTTAAGAGTTTTATTTAAGAAAGGGATATTTTGAGAACTAGAAAAAATGTTAAAGGGTGAGTTATACAGTAGCTAATCAAACTAAAAGTGTTTGTAATTCAATACTCACAAGTTATTTCAATTTTTTTGATTGATTTTAACTTATAAGCATTTTAATGCTAATCAAATATGTACATACTCTAAAAGTATTTATAAACCAGCTTGATCAATTTATAAGCTTAGTGAAACACTCTCTTAATCTTTAATTACTTAAAATAACTACTTTTAATTTTCTTTGCTTGTGAAAAATTACAAATTTCTCGAAATATTGACTCTTTCATTATTTAATTATTCAATGTGCTTATAGGCGAATGGATCAAAGCAATAGAGGGTTTCGAGAACCCATTAACTTTTACCAAAATCTTGTATTTACATTAAAATTCCATCCAATATAAGAAATTGATAGTTGAGAAACTATAACTAAAGGAAATTATTGATTTAGTGAAAAAGAAAGAAACTCAATTTTAGTGTTATCATGTTTGATGCGGATTCGATTTCCCTTATAGTCAAACCAACATTTTTTATCCATTATTATCATATGTCAGTTAATATTACTACAAATCTATCGACTTAATATTCTGGATCCGTTTTCACATGTGTTATATTAAATTTGTATTGTAACTTAATATTTATGAGTGATATACTTCTAAAAATACTCTGAATATAATATATTTCCTATATAAAAGGATCAAAATCCTGCACTTTAACTTTTGGTTCAGAGGGTTGTCATTCACCCAGATGATCTGAGTCGAGTGTGTCGCATGGAGCTTGTCTAGTGCGATTTACATCTTCTCTGTGGTTTGACTATTATACAGGTTTTAGTGCTCACCAGAAGGGCAAAGCTCAACGAAAGGACAGAAGTTGTGACCGAAGTTGGTTACCTTGAAAATCCAAAAAAAAAAAAACTAATTAAAAGTTAAATGTGCAAATCACATATCACAAAGATTAAAATCAAAATTTATCGCGAAAAATCAAAAGTATTATTATAAAAAAAATAAAAGGAAAATAGACGTTAAAGAAAAGAAAAATAAACTAGTGACGTGTCCCCTTCCTTCAACTATTACTTTCCTAATAAATCCCCCCCTTCCATTTTTAGCTTCTTATATTTCTCTCTCTTCAGTTGGACCAAAAAAAAAAAGAACTGTTCTTTTTCCTCTTTTTCTCTGAAAATTACACCACATATTGCAATCTTGTTGTTTTTGGGTTGGTGAGTTTCTTGATTCTTTGAGTTTTAAGTCAACAACTGAGTTCCCAAGAGCTGTTAAAGTCTAAAAGGTAAGTTTTTTTCAATAAAAATGCTTTCTTTCTTGTTGGATTTTCAATAATCAAGAATCCTATTCTGTCTGTTTTTTGCTGTTTTTGTAGTATTGTATTGTTTAATGTTGTGCTCAACATTCTTTATACAGTTCATGTTTGTGTATTTTTGTCTGTAGAAGCTTAATTTTGCTTGTCTTTTCCAGCTGTGTATTGGAATTCAGTATAGTTCATTTGAGGCTTTTTGGTTGGATACAGTCTTGATTTGTTGTTAAAGATTTGATTTTTATGTAATTTCTTATCTCTCCCCACTTGTTTTTTTGGGGTTGGGTGGGTTGTGAGTAGGTGGGGTGTAATGTTTCTCTGTCTTGAAGGAGTACTACTCAGATTTGAAATTTGAATGTTACTTTTTATCCTTTTGTCAGAGAAAAAAGAGAGATCTGCTAATGACTTTTCCTCTTTTTAGGCCCATTCTGCTGAAAAAAAAGGAAAAGGTTTTCTTTGGATTACTTGTTGGGAGGTTAGGGGATAAGTTAAAATTTTGGGTGTTTTTTTTATGAGTTAATCCATATACTTAGATTAGATCTTGATGCATATCAAATTATCCAACAGAATCATGGGTTGTGTTTCTTTGTTTTTGTTGTTGTTGGTTTGTGATATTTGCAGATTTTGGTGCATTTCAGCTTTATAAATGTGTATTAAGTTGAACTGCAAATGACTATTTGGCGATACGGGTAATCAGTTTATTGCCGTGGTTAACATAATCTTTGATGCATCATGAACAGATCGGTTGAGTTCTGGATCCGGATGATTTATTACAATGGTTGAGAATTGGAAGTGTTGAACTGTGGTAAGAGTATGGCTGTTGCTGGTTTGCATAATATTTCTACATTTGGTTCTTCTTTATTTATTGAGTCTCAGTCCTCGGTGTCGAGGCAGCGGACTGAACATGATAGGCCGAAAACCCGAGCATCATCCATTCGGCAAATGTGGAGGGAGCTTGAGGGTGAGCATGTGGTGAGTAATTCCTATGCCCCTACCGGAGACAGGCAGAGACCACAGGGGAATGATGGTGTCAATGAGGACCAAAATCAAAGCCATATCGAGTTAGATAATTACTTTGATGATGGTCGCAGTGTTAGCTCAGATCTATCTAGTGATCTTGGGGAGGTTGAACGCGAAAGAGTGAGGCAAATTATTCAGGAATGGATGCACACTGGTGCGAAGAGTCATTCACAATCATTGAATGTTTCACATGTGAACAACTGTTCAAAGGCACAGTGTGAACGAATGAGTATTCATCAGAGTGGCACAAGTTCTCCTAGAGATGAAGTTGCTGTTGAAATTGGTTCCCAATTTGAACAAGGACGTGATGGGTTGTTGGTCGATCATTCACGACGTGGAGAGAGAAAGGCCTTACGCAGACTCTGTGGTAGACAAGCTCTTGTTGATTTACTGATGAGATCTCAAAGGGAAAGGGAAAAGGAACTTCAGGGATTGTTGGAGTCTAAGCCTGTATCAGACTTTGCCTATCGCAATCGGATTCAGGTTAGGCTTAAGTAGAAATGCTTTCTTTTCCCCCTTGAATATCATGAATTGTATGTCATCTCAAATGTTATTCTGTCTCCTAGTGTATATCATACATGGAAAGTGAGGAATGGAAGTTTCCTTATTTTTGGCATCAAATTTAAATGCGATCATGATATGTGCATTAAGATGTTCTAGGACATTGTTAAAGGGCTTCACATGCTGCTAAATGTTCTCATGTCCTTGAGAACCAATGGAAAAAAAATCAATGCTAGCAAAACAAGTGCGAAGCATAAAAAGGTAAACAAAAAATGGAGATTGACCAAATTTGGAAATATCTTTGCAAGTTCACTTGGCTAAAGTTGATCACGATAAGATGAAATACTTCACTAGTTCACTTTATAATGGTTAATATTCTTGGGGGTGTTTAAAGTATTATTTACTTCGTTCCAATTTATATGAGTTAGTTTGACTTGACACGAAGTTTAAGAAAAAAATAAAAACTTTTGAAACTTGTGGTCTAAAATAAGTCAATGATATATCTGGGGCTAGAAATCATTTCATTAAGAGTAAAATTGACATTTTAAAGTTACATTGTCACTAAATATAGAAATGTGTCCCTTTTTTTTGGAACCGACTATCAAGGAAAGTAAGTCATATAAATTAGTATAGAGGGAGTAATTATTAGGTGTATTAATTAAAGATTCTGCTAAAACGGTTGCAAGTTGCTATGCTACATTGTGATCAAGGTATATCTAAATCACTAAATATATAATGAATATTTTCCCGACTTATAATTAGTATTGTAAAATTGATTTAAAAATTTAAATTATTAATTTTAACAGCCTCCCTAGGGTAAGGTCTAGGTACACCTTCCCCTCCCAAGCCCCACATAGTTGGACTACACTGGGTTGTTATTGTTGTAGTTGTAGTTGAGAAGGAAGAGCCTTGGAGCAAGGGTACGGTTGTTTCCGTGTTACTTCATGGATTTGAGTCTTGGAATCAACCTCTGATAGTTGTGTCAAAGTAGTGTGCCTACATTACACACCTGGCACCCTTACGGTGCCACCCTTCTCTTGACCCTATATGGAAGTTTTGTGCACCGGGATCCCCTTTAATTTCCACTTGAATCAAACTTGGCCTCATGAAAATTCATTAGTACTTTTAATAGATTGGGCCCAATTAAGCAGAATTATTAACGAATTAAAGCTTAGTTGATTAATTAATTACTTGTTTGGTATTGCTCCCTTAGTTTATTTACTTTCTTTTTTAGTCCGTTTCAAAAAGGATGCCTCTTTTCTTTTTTGGCAACTCTTTAAATCTAATTTTCGACATGACATGTTTAGGTTCACAAGATTAAAGGACATTTTAGTATATTCTATATCTTTAGTTTAAGACTACAAGATTAAAAAATCTTCTTTACTTTCTTTAATCGCATGCCAAGTCAAAACCGGACAAACAAATTGAAATGGAGGGAGTCATAAATTATGATTTGATTATTTAACTGTAGTTTATCAACATGTGTAACGAGATCTTTGGTTTAATCAAAGTGCAAGTATAAGTTGAACTTATTCTAGTGATTTGAACTTTTTAGATTTATGTTCATACACTATATTTATCCTTCGTCTTCAGTGAAATTGGAGATCCTTAGGCTCATTTACTTTCTTCATCCAGCTTCTATTATTTTCATCCCTAGATTATTTGCCACCCCTTGCTTGCTCGTAATACTGGAAAACTTTGTGTGGTGCAGTCATTACTCCGGGGAAGGTTTCTGCGAAATGATAGCTTGACCAATGATGAAAGAACTGCTTCAAATGCAGCAAGTGAACTGGGCTTACTAAGGCGAAGACATACTGTGTCTGATTTAAGGTAAAAATGGACCTAAATGTGATGTCTGTTTTATTTTGAGTTGTTTTCACTTGCTTGCGGTAATATTATCTTACTTAGGCGAAGACGTACTGTGTCTGATTTAAGGTAAAAAGGGACCTGATTGCGAAATCTGTTCTAATTTGAGTTGTTTTCAGTTTTCTCTTACTTGCGGTAATATTATCTTATTAATTGTCTTCTTATGTCAGCCAAAAGGTACATTTGTTTACATAAATAGTATCTGGCAAACATAAGTTCTTCTGACCAACAGTCTTACCTGACACATGAAATGGTTTCAAACAGGGAAGAAATTTTGTCCAGATTGGACGATAATGTGCGTACGACTACGAATACACAGCTGTCCTCTCCAAAGGATGAACCCCAACCATCCCAATCGAACAGTGAACAAGAGGTAATAGACGAATGCTATGATCAGTCTGAACTTATTAATGAAGAGAGAGAGATCAATGGATCTCATGTGGTAACAAACTCCGCAAACACTATTCGCGAGCTTGTGAATCATCAATATAACATTGACCAAATAGCTGAAACATCAGAGCAAGTTGGAGAAGATGAGGATCATGACCAAGCTACGTCAAATTTGGAGTTATTTAGTAGTTTACCTGAAAGACACAATAATGAGAATATAGACTTGGTGGAAAATGCTGGTGACGAATGGTTGCAGGAAGAACATGCAACCTTCCATGACAATGATGCTACACAGAGTGAGGCAAGTGATTTTAATGATGTCCTAAATGGTCATTTTCGTGATTTGGATAGAAATATCTTTGAAGATTATGACTGGGAAGGTTCATCAGCTCAGGCAGAGGAGCTACAGGAATATATTGCGGAACCTGAAGGAAGTGATTTGGAGCAAGCGGAAGAGCCGGAGGAATTTGAAACAGAACATGAGGAAAGTGAGTCACAGCATTTGTATGCTGATCAGAATGAATGGATAGATGATGCGACAGAAAATATGGGCGGAGATTCTCAGGAAGGGACTCCTAATCAATCTTATCCAGAAAGTTTGGATGGTGGCATTGAAGAACAAAACCATACACAAGAACCACATGATGATGAGTGGCATGAAGAGGCAATTGATGACTGGTCTGACACGCCTTCCGGTCAGGATGATGGGTCCATTGGAAGGGTTGATACATTTTATACACCGGATGATGACAATGTTTATAGCATTGAACTTCGAGAATTGCTAAGCAGGTACAAACTTGCACCGTTAGGCCTCTGCATCTTGTGTATAACATTGAAATTTCATGTAATTAACGATTGTGTTCATGGTTTAGGAGGCGAGTCTCTAATCTGCTTCGTAGCAGTTTCCGTGAAAGTCTAAACCAGCTGATACAATCTTATGTTGAAAGACAAGGTAATGCTTCTTTTGACTGGGATATGGATGGAGCATCCTCATACCCCTCTGATACAGAGCAGGAGCAGCAGCAGGAGAATGTTAATCAAGAAGGGCCTCAGATGAATATGGAGGGAAATCCCTTTGCTATGACTCCACCTCCAGAGGCACCTTCTCAGCCTCATTGGAATCGGGAACCTGAGCATCCGAATTTGCGTCGCCAAAATCCACATCAGCGCATGGGAGAATCAGTAAGTTTCAGCCATTTTCCTGAACTACATGAAGTTCTACTCGGTATTGATTAGTATAGCTGCTTTCGGCTTTGTTGTTAGTGTGTCCAACATATGCAAAAAGTATGATAATCATTATAATTAAGGCACATCCGGTATTCAAATGCGCAAGCTGAATCTGCAAGTTGGATTATGATGTTCCTTTCTTTGTTCTACTTCGAGTGTTTTAACTAGCGTTTGGCCATAGATTTTGGATCAAATTTTGAAAATCTATCTTCAAATATTTTCGAGTTCCAGTTTTTGGGACTTGTAGTGATAAAACTTCAAATATTTTCCAAGTAAGATGCATGTCCAAACACAACAAATTCCAAAACAACTTCAAAATCTATGGCCAAATGGGAGCTTAGTAAACACAGTAACTTCTTGCTATGAGCATGTTTTTCTTAAAAAACTCAAACTATTCACATCCATTTCTTGTTTTACACATGATCATAGTTCTTACAATGAAATGTGTACCTCATTGATCTGTTGCAGGAGTGGGATATCATCAATGAACTGAAGATTGACATGGCTGTGCTTCATCAGCGGATGAATGATATGCAAAGGATGCTTCAAACTTGCATGGAAATGCAAGTTGAGCTGCAGAGGTCGGTCCGTCAAGAAGTTTCTGCAGCCCTAAATCGATCTGCTGGTTCAACAGGTTTGATTTCATACCTTTGTCCATTACGAGTTTTTCACTTCCTCAATCGGAGAAAATCCTATAATACTTTGTTCATCTAGTTGTCATCTAGTTCATTTCTTTTATCAAAAATCAGATGTGGATATTTGTGGGGATGGTTTGCTGAATGATGAATCCAAATGGGATACAGTGAGGAAAGGAATATGTTGCTTATGTTGTAATAACAATATCGATTCGTTACTGTACAGGTAAAAATACGAAACATCCTTGTCCTTCCTTTAATTATTAAGTGCACATGATGCTTTTCTGAGCTGTCATAGGGACAGCTCTCTTTTATGTTGTTTCCAGTTGCCTTGCGGACACAATCTTTCCTTTTTGATCCAGTCTGAAAAGAAACGTCTTTCCTTTTCCTTCTCGGGTTGCAGGTGTGGCCACATGTGCACATGTTCAAAATGTGCAGAAATATTGATCAACGAAGAAGCAAAATGCCCGATGTGCCTGGCACCAGTAGTCGAGGTCATCCGAGCTTTCTCTTCACAGTAATTGGTATAAAATTAGAAGAAAATAGTAGACGATAAATATCAAAGAGAGAAGATAGATAATGCAATAAAGATTTCTTTGGCACCTGCAGTCCTTACTCCTTTAGTGTAGGTAATTCTCTCCTTCTCTGTTCATTTGCTCTGTGTATCCCGTGATTCTTCATTTGCCATTCATATTTTCACTAACTGTACACTCGTATTTGCAGATTTGCACGTCTGATTTATTGTCGAATACAGAATAAGCAGGTGAAACTTATCATTTGTCCGAAAATCTCCGTCTATCGATGTGTAGACACATATTGGTTGCTGCCTGACATAGCTAACAGGAAAGTCATTGTTTTTTCATGATGGCTTTTGTTATGTATTGATGAAGTTATTTGAATATCCTTAAGCCTGGAGAGAGTGATCAACTAGTGTGTGGTTGCCTTGAAAAAACTTGGACCATCTCCGAGTTGGGAAGGTGTCACACCTTCTCGGGGTGTGGTCCTCTTTAGGACCCTGTATAAACGTGAGATGCTTCGCACACCGAGCTACCTTTTTTTAAATTTCAAGTTGGGTCATGGATTTTGAATTCCCTTCCATTTTGTTCCTTAATTTATGATCAAGTGAGATATGAAGATTACATTTTTTTTGTTCACCCCTTTTCTAAGATGGGAAACTAATGATGTAAAGTTTAATATATATTATTTATATATACATTAACTCATTGAAATGAATGATAATCATTTTTTCTATTTTTTGCATTTCTTAACTATCAAGTACTATCACCCATGTTTCTATTTGTTGCACATAATTTGACCTTGCATGAATCTAATCGTAAACTTTGTGAGCTTAAATCTGTCATAATATTTGTGTATTTATTATAGTAAAAAAAATTAAACTTAATTTGAAAATACTTTTGTGTATTTTCTCAAATATCTAGTCATCTACTTTAATTATATTCATCAATCTTAATTGTAATCAACTTGAGATTTTTTGACTTGGTATAACTAATGTTTGTAACTAATAGAGGTATATATTTTAAGTGATTTACTTATTTACGTAATGAGCGTTTAAGAATAAATAAAATTTTTGTTTCAAATTTTACGATGAAATTCTTTTATAAGATTTATCATGTATTCAGATGTTTAATTGGATCATGCCATAATTCAAATGTCTAAATAAAATTCATTGACAAATTTAACGAATTGTCAATATATACAAACTTAGTTTAAACAAGTCATAATTTTTATATAGCTATTATAGAAGTTTCTCATTATGTAAAAACAAATAAAAATGTCTATTATTTAAAAAAAACAACTAATAAGAAAATAATATCCATCAGAACTAATACTTTGCATCTCTAAGCAAGTCTGCTTAGCTAAAAGAGTCAATTATCAAATTGGAATTACTTTCAATTGCTTCAAGGAATCATCTTTTTGCCAGTGCTAATCAAGTTAATAATAAGCCTTTTAACATAATTAAGCAAACAAAAGGTATATCAGTAAACCTTACTTTGAGTTTTCAATTTTGATGCCACACTTGCAAAATGATGAAAAAAGAAAAAGTAAAGTTCTTCACCATTAAAAAAATAAATAAGAAGAAAATATTCCTAATTTGGTCCAAGTGATTCATTAATGAATATATGCTAGCTAAAATACCAATGACATAAGTGAGGTTTATGAAGGATAAAATGTATGTAAATTTTATTTTTATAAGGGGATAGAGGTTGTTTTCGATAGATCATCGATTGAAAAAAAAAGTTATTTGAAACAGGTTTACCAGAAAAATTTAACAACAAAATATTAAGATACAAAACAAATAAACCAAGATCTAGCAAATTCATTGAAGAACAAGAAATCACACTATTACTAATAAAATTGAGAGGAAATGGGGCTAAACCCCCTGCCTCTCCCAACTAAGGTTACGACACTTGATTACCTACTAATTTTTTACCCTGATACTGAATCTGCACACTTTCTTGTTTAGGTTCATATCCACGATAAGCTAAGTTGAGGTTCATATCCACGGTAAGCTAAGTTGAGGTAGTTTCATATTATGTCAAATCGCCTTCCAAAATTTCATATTATGTCACATCATTGCCTTCCAAATTTTCATTCGGAGTGCCTCTACCTCGTCTTACTCCTGCTAAAACCAATCTCTAACACCTCTCCTTACTGACATTTTTGCAATTTCTCTTCGTATGTCAGAATAATCTCAGTCTTACTTCCCTCATCTTATCTTATCAATCATGAAGATTACTACTACCTTGAAAGCCAATCTATTCATCAAACACTCCACCAACAACTAACATAAAAGTTGATTTTATTACAATCGACACAACTACTCCCATTTCATGAGGTAATCCAAGAATACCGTAAAATTTAAAACTTCATAACAATAACTCAAAAATTGAATGAACATACAATATTATACTTCACAATAACTTATAAATCACAATAATTAATCTTTACAATTTTGAGTGCTGTACAAAAGTAGTACTAATACTTACAAAATCATTTTACAATTTTATTTTTTTTAGAAACTTGCACTTCTATGCAATGTCACTCTACTCCCCAAATTTGAAGAACTACATGATCTTCTAATACACCTACACGTGTCACACTCTTGAACCGTTGATCTTTCACTCACACCATTTTCATTTCCCACATCAACTACATCCAAACAAACCTCATCCACATTTTTGAAAAATTGCGTGGACCGACAGAGTGGACAAGTCACGTGCGATGATAGCCACGTGTCGAGACATTGTTGATGGAACACGTGACGACAGTACGGAATAAGACGAACGAGTTCACTCACCTCGAACTCTGATAAACAAATTGGGCAATCTTCGATCAAGTGCTTCGCCGCTCCACCGTATGAAATCAACGGTAGAGATTGCACCGTTGATGGGTCCAACCCTTTCCGGCAAGACCTGTGTTGGGATCGAAATAACACGAAAGTTAATAATTGCAAATCATCATCGAAATAAACGAGTACATTCTGAATGCTATTATACGAAAAAATAAAATTTTCGTAGCAAAATGAGTTTTTTCATGAAAAATGAAAATTAATAAAAAGTTTGTCTAATTGTATGATACCGAGTTATACTTCTTAACTTCTTATACCTATGTACTAATTTATTTTATATGATTAAATTGAAATTTTGAGATTCAAACTTTAAAATTTTAACGGAAAATTCAAGCAATGAAACTTCTAGATTTTTGAAGTATATGTATGTGAAAACTATGAAAAAATAGTACTTTCTCTATCCCAATTATGTGATTTACGTTCCTTTTTAATCAATAGTTAAAAAATGACATATTTCTATACATTAAGTAAAAATTTAATTATAAAATATCTATTTATCTTTAATGAAATGATTTACGACCACACAAATTTCTATTTTTTATTTTGGATCACAAGTTTTAAAAATCTTTCTTTCTTAAACTCAGTATCGAGTCAAATTACTTCACATGAAATGGAACGGAGAGAATATAAATTATATTTTTTGTCTCAATTTACGTGACACTTTTTATTTTTCGAGAGTGAAACATTTTAAGTTTAATCAAAAGTTTAAGCATAAAATCTTCAAGGTAAACTATGTAAAAACTGCTGCAAGTCACAATAATTGATAAAAATATTTAAAAGATGCATAAAAAATAAATTTATTAGAATCTCAAAATTCAAAATGTGTTTGCGTTGAGATGGAGGGAGCAATGATTAACAATTACGATAGAATCAGATAAAATTTAAAAAATTCAGAGCAATTACAGTGATTGAAAAACTAACAACCTGTGTGCGGAGGAAGAAGACGACGACAGAGATGGATTTCTCCGGCGTCGATCATCATCGTAACCGGTGGAAGTTGTTGTATCTCCGGCGAAGTGACGTATATAAATAGAGAAAAAACCCATGAAAAACAGAGCAGTGAGAAGAACGAGTATTGTTAACGCCATTGATGAATCGAAAGGTGCAGTGAGCTTAAACGGTCTTCCGATTGCTGTAGCTACGGAATCGTTCATGGGTTGATAAGTAATTGTTGGATCTGATGAACTCATTAAAGAATGTAAAATTTCTGGGTTTGAGTATTGTAATAGTATTCTTTTCATCTCAACAACTAACACTGAAAAATAGATAAAATAAATAGTGATTTTTCTTTTTTTTTGCGTGCGTATAATGTAGTAATGCTAGAAATGGAGTTTTTGGGGAGAAAGGGTGAAGAGGATAAGAATGGAGGGGGGAGGGGGCTGATTATATATATGGGGTCTACAAGTTTCATGTTAGTTCACGTGTTTAACACCCTATTATTATCGAAATTTGATTAAATTTGAATTTATATAGAAAACTATTTTTATTAGTTACAAGAGAATTAGTGATGAAATTCGTAGCTATTTCAATTCTCTAGTAATGAGTGTTAAAATATATTATGTCTATTTTATTTTATTTAATATATGATTTAAGAAAATAAAAAATAAATTTTATAATTGTAAACTAGATATATAAATTATATCAAATGTCTCAAACAAAGGAAGAAAAAGGACATAAGCATCGTTTTTGAAGCTAACTAAAAAGAAAAATAAAGTAAATAACTTAATGTAAATAATTTGAATCAGTTGAGCTTCAGATAAATACTCTATTTATTCACTTTTACTTATTCGTTATATTAGAAATAAAATATTTTTATTTTTACTTATTAATTTTAACATATCAAGATAAAAATCTATATTTTATATTTTATTCTAAGTTTTAGTTTTTTTTAAAGAAACTATTTTTAATATCTAAATTTATATATCAATTAATAGAATTATTTTAAGAAATTATTTATATTAATTATTATATTTTAAAATTTATTATGAATTAATAAAAATCAACTAAGAAACTATCAAATATCATAGAGAAAAAAACAAAAATACAATCCATAGCCCCTGGTCTAGTTGATGATTGTGATGTGTATAGAGTATAGATAAATAATATTGTGGGCTAGCAACATCATAATTGGAGTAATTTCCCTAGATAGTCACCCATATTTGAGAAATTACCTAGTAATATCACTTATGTTTGTTTTAGGACTACAATATCATTCAACTTTACCTATTTTCCTCAAAATATACTTGACACAAAAACATTATCTCTCTCCTAATGAAATGCCATGTCACATTTTCTTTAATTTATTAATAATAATTTTTTTAATTCTGTAAATGTCTGTAGGCTCCTAATACTAAGTAGTTTAGTTGTGGAATGCCTACATTAGGAATTGAAGTGTTTGTGCCCCAGCTCGTATGTAGTGTTTGTGCCCCTGTTGCATGTCTATTTATTTCAAACATTTAACCACTATTATAAATCGAGGTTTATTTTAATACAAAGGAAATAACAATTTAGATAGATAAAAAAAATAATAGATAATTAAAATACGAAATTCGTGGAAAATAATATTTAATTAAGTGTTTTTTATTATTAACTTGAAAAATAATATGTTATAAAAGTAATTAATTAGTATATGTGTGATATTTATTATGTGCATGGTTTTCTTCACACAAAAATCTCCTTGTTATCGTAAAGATAAAATCATGTCGATTCTCACAAGAAATCTAGAGCGGAGCTAATCTTCGGTACACAGAATTTTGTTATATTTATGATTTTAAATTATTAAAATATATATAAAATATTGATTTAGAACTCTCTACTTTAAAGAAGTACAATTTAAAACTTACATGTATGCTTAAAACCAGACACAAGTGTCTATGCTAGCATGAGCCCAATATTTATTATTTTAATTTATGTGATATCAATAAAATTTAGGAAGTTAATTAAATTTAAATATGATTTTAGATATTTTAAGTTGATAGTTACTTTTTGTTTGCACAAATTTAATGTGAAGATGTCCATAATTAAAAAATATATTTTCCGTATCGATCGTTTATTTCATACTCAAAGTAGCTACAAGATATTACCGACATCCAAAATAATAAAGCTATAACTAAAAAATATTAATTTAAAACTAAAAAATATAGCTAAAACGGATTCCATAATTTCAGAAAAATTATACACTAATTAAGTTTAAATAGAACAAACAAAATAATTTTTTCAAATCAGAGAAGTACAAACAAATAAACAAAATAATGTCTAAACATTGTATAAATAATAACGAAAAGCAGGGGCACAAACACTTAAAGAATTTAAAAAAATATTATTAATAAATTAAAAAAATGTGACATGGCATCCTATTAGGAGAGAGATAATGTTTTTTTTGTGTCAAGTATATTTTGAGGAAAATAGATAAAGTTGGGTGATATTGTAGTTCTAAAACAAACATAAGTGATATTACTAGGTGATTTACCAAACATGGATGACTATCTAGGGAAATTACTCTCATAATTGTTGTGTTAGAATTTAGCAACAAAACAAAAAGTTGGGTCCATCTTTTGGCTTATTTTTAATAGAGATTTACGGTAAGATCTTTTATTGGACTCAAATAAAAACAAAGTTATATATATTGTTCATATATATATTACGTGGTGTCTTCTAACATTTCCTATATATTGAAAATGTCTGACTCACCATTTTCTTAAAATTTTAAAATATTTTTATTCAGTGTCTAGTATTTATTTTGAGATTTAATTAATTTGAACTTCATGTTTATGAGTCTCATTTTAAGAAATAAAACATTCCTTATCAACCATAATAATAATATATCTCATGAAATTACATTAGTGATGTATGAGAACGATCAAATGTATACAAAATTAATCATTACTTCATGAAGATAGATAAATTATTTTTGAAAAACCCTCACTCAAGTGTAATAAATATCGATATTAAAATGTCCTTATCAATAGTGTGATTTTATATGCAAGATTTAAATTATAATATTTTAATTAAAAATAAAAAAATATTAATAATTTTATTAATTTATTTAGGTTTATGCACATCACACATTTATTTTTGGGATGGCTAGGAAGGGAATATTTAGAGAAAATATAATATATTTGGGTTTACAAACCTAATTAATAAGAACCAAGATAGATGCCATCAGCAAGGTATGGGGACTATCTTTTCTTGTTGCATTGGACTTTGGAAGTTGCTGGAATGATGACAAAATAACCCCTATAACACCAACAAAAATGGTGTAATTGGATCAGTAGTACTCTTTTATTCTTAATTAAAAAATTTATACTGATATCTTTTAGATATGAAATTGTTTTTGTTAAGAAGTACTTTAACATTTGATGTGAAATTCATCGACAAGAAATTAAATTTAGTCAAACGCTAATGTTATAGATATTAAAAACCGAATTTAAAAAAAAAAGTTAAAACAAGAAATGTGAAAATTTTTGATATGAATTTGAAATAGTACATAAAAAGGAATCTATCTCGTATAAAAGTAATCACAATGTATAAATGTATATATCATATACGAACTTATTCTGTAATTTTCAGTCACTATCTTATTCCAAACTAGTCTAAATCTTCATCGAATAACTTTGATTATCTTTCTAATATGATTTTCACCACTCAAAAATTACAAATTTGGTGCTCTAATGATGATTTAAGCTCCAAACACATTGATAAGCCAAGTTTACCAACTAATTTTAATAGAGGTGACTAGGTTATAAAGATAAATAGAAGAGGTAACCTAGCTTCCAAATTATATATATTATTATTATCCACAATCCTAAGGTTGTATGGTTCCAATCCATAATTACTTTTTGCTAAATAATTATGAAATTGACTAAATTATAAGAGTAATTATTTGTAGTGTTAGGTTAGAACTAAGTATCAAATCAAACGTGCTGGATAATAGGGGGAATACTTATTGGGCTTTGGGAACCCATATTATGGGCCAAGTAAAATTGCTTGTCTCAAAAGCCCAATAAATATTGGCCCAAGATTCAAACATCGATATCGATATCGTACATACTCTACTTGGGCGAAGTATACAAATAACCATTTTAGGACCCATATTTAACAATAGTCAAAATTTAATCCCTTTAAAATCAACTCTAGTTTTACGGGTTTAAAGCTCGACTTTGTCAAAATCTAACTTCAGACCTTAGTGTTTTAAGTTTGAATGAAGTTACGCTTTGTCAAAACTGAATTTCACACCCAATAGTGTGAATTCGCAATAAGGAAATGATGTGATATTTGTCAAATAGACTAAAACGTTAAATAGTTTTAAAAATCGAATAATTTACATATATTTCACAATGTTATACACTTAACCCTTTTGAACAAGGGATTACCTTAAGGCCCATTTAATTATGGGCTTTCAAATTGGAAATAACAAAACTCAAAAAGTTAAACTGATCCAATATGGCAATGGACCAAGCCCAATGATGTATCAATGTGAAGATTTATTGTACATTTTGACCTCCTGAAGTGTAGTTTTTTCGCATTTAAGTTGGACGGGTTGTGTTATGATTCTTTACTCGATCTACTTTGAACAAAACAACTGTCGATTCTTTATTCTTCTAAACTTGTATAATCACATATTTGACATTCTTAGAGATGTCCTTCTTAACCATAAAAGTTAATATCCAATTCTCAAATGAGTTTGAGTTAAACCTTGAATTTTTTCAAATTCATTAAAACATAATCAATTTTGTCTATTTGACACAATTACTATATTGTAAATTGTTACATCTACAATATCCAGTATCATGTAATATGAACCAAGGGGATTCATTTCTCCCTAACCTTAGTTTGTAAAACACCTGGGATTGTTTGGTTCGCAGACAAAATTATGTTTGGATTAATAATCTATGATTGTTTATTGTTTATGATTTACTTAGAAAATTTTATAAAAGTGGAATATATGGTGTATAATCTAAACCATGTGTTTGGTTATAAATGGAGTAAATTTGTAGTTTCCAATTTTAATCAATCTTAAGAATACTAAGAAGGCCTTCTAGAGGAAAAGGACAATTTTGTCATTTCACTTAATTTATCTATGTATAGCTAATTCTTGAATTGTTATCATGATCCATGATTATATTTTAATAAGTGACAATTTGATTATTTTTTTTATGAATAGCTTTTATTAATTTCAGCATAGGATGAGAAAAAGATTGTAGCATCTAGTGATTATCATAATATAAATTTGTTCACCAACAAAATTTTACTAGGGAATCATAAGTGAAACTTAGTTAATTTGCACAAATATAATACTAAATATTTCTTCTAAAGATGAATCATTATGATCACAAAACACTTTTTTTTTTCTTCTTTTAACTA